CCCTCCCAAATCCCTTCCACGCCCAATGTGGGAGGTGGTTGGTGCCGGACCTGCCGGTCCCAGAGGCCTCCCCCTCGCGTCTACTCACCCCAAGGAAGCAGCACTGGGAACCCAGATGGACCGGTCACGGCTCACCATGTGCCCATGGCGGCCGTCCGGAATCCAGGCATGAGACGCCCCGTCCTGAGACCCACCTCAAGGTGAGGATTTAAGCACCAGGCTATTGTGTCCAGCCCGCTTTGTCACTTTCTTAGGGCTATTAGGAGAATAATGACTTGGGCCTTGTTACTGTCAGGGACCTTGAAAAATACGTTTGCCCAGAAAATTTTTTTCTCTCCAGCATGTGCTCAAACATCATTGAACTCAGTTGAAGGCGGTCAGTCTGATTTCTGTAGTGAAATATTTGATCTACTGGAAAGAAAAAAAATCTCTAATTTACATATTCATGCATATAAACTTCGGAACTATAACTTAAACTGTTGCATGTAGTGATTAAGCCATGTTAAAATCAATCCTGATTTAGAAAAGATGAAGGGAGCTGTACTGACAAGGGCTGGTTTCTTACTTGTGGGTCATGGGGTTCTTTTACTGAGTCTTACTCTTTCCCCATAAGAAAGCTTCTTGATGAATGAAAGGTTGATTTCTTACCCAAAATAATTTTGCTACGATGCTCAAGAGTCAGCATCGGTGTTTTATTAATTCCAAATATGACTGCATAAACCCTTTATTAAACAGGGTGGAGTTTGAGAGTAGCATTTTTATTTTGAATTGTGAATTTTAGGGTACAGTTATGAAACAGTACTCCTACCTCGCTGTCCATACACAGCCAGGTCTCATCTAGTCTGGATGAGATTTTATAGGACCTATCAATGTTGAGTTAAAATAAGTGCACTTTATATTTAAGATGTAGGTCTGTTCACCACTTCACAGTTGTAAATGTTTCCTTTGCCAGGATTCATGTGACAGTATTTAAAGAAATGGAGTCATAATGATGATAGTGTTTTTCTTTTTTCTGTGTTTCAGCCTGCTTTTAAAAAATATTTATTTTTATTTGAGGAGCAGAGTTAGGGAGAGGAGGCTGATTTTCCTTCTGATTCATTCTCCAAATGGCCACAACAGCCAAAGCTTGGCCAGTTTGAAGCCAGGAGTCAGGAGCTTCTTTCAGGTCTTCCATATGGGTGCAGGGACCCCAGGACTCAGGTCATCCTCTGCTGCTTTCCCAGGCATATCAGCAGGAAGCTGGGTAGGGATTAGAGCAGCTAGAACTCAACTGTAGCTCATGTGGGATGTGGGCACTGTAGGCAGAGACAGCCAAGTATGCCCCAACAAAGCCCCCACTCGTTAAGATTTATTGAATTACTTTTTTTATTGGATTTTGAGAGAGAGAGAGGGCAGAGATAGAGTTATTTCATTTGCTGGTTCATTCTCCAGATAGCCACAGTGGCCAGTGTCAGACCAGGCAGAAACCAGGTGCTTTTTCTGGTCTCTGCATGGGTGACAGGAGTCCAGAAACTCGGGCCATCTTCCACTGCTTTTCCCAGGCACATTAGCAGGGGTGGTGCAGCTGGGACATGAACCCATATGGATGCCAGCATTGCTTGCAGTGGCTTTATGTACTATACCACAATGCCGTTCCCTCTGTCTCTTTTAAATGAATTTTATTCTTTTAATAAAAGATTACATGGCTTATCAGGGTGGGAAGGATCGAGGTTTAGGGGAAATTGGATGAATTGTTTGCTTCCAAATTTGCTTTCCATGACTTTCCACAGGTCCCAGTACCTAGGGAGTCTCTTTCTTGAGAAGAACGGTTTTATCTCCTAGATTGTTTTCCCGAGTCTCAGATGTCACTAGTCCTCAGAGCTCACTCCTTGTTTCTCTTGCATGGCTTGTCCCTAGTGAACTCGACCATTCTGTAACCTGATTCAGCCGTCTCCCAGGTTGATCTCAAGAGTCCCACCTTGCACGCAGGTGTCACACAGACATCTAAGCTCTCACACTCAGAAGTGAATTCAAGCTTATTCTTTCTGTAAGTAGCCTGACTGCTTCTTGCTGCTGTCTGGGTTCTCCTGGCAGCCTTTACTCTTCCCTTTGTGGCTTGTTCAAGCCACCAGTTAGTCTTGTCCCAGATCTTTCCACCCGCCTCTTTCTTCTCTTCCTGCTGCAGATCATTCTCATCTTTCCCTGAGAACGATGCAGATCTCTTGCTTTTGTCCATCCTGTTCCTGTGCTTGACCCACACCCTTTTCCCACAGGGCACAATGTTTACTTTAAATGGATCTTGGCATAAAACTCAGATTACCACTGCTACGAGGCCCTTGATGACCTTGCTTTTGCCATACTCTCAGATGTGATCTGCCTGCTTGCTGTCTTGCTTCTGCCACACATGGGTGCCTTCTGACTCCTGGAGACTGAGTTCTACAGGGCTGCCTTCCACCTCTTCATCTTCTGCCTCATCTCACTTGCCGCCATCAACATTCACACACTCCTAGGGAATGGTCTGCTAATGTTCCTCTTAGTATACTTGGGAGTTCCTTGGAGATAATTTCCCTGACTGCTTTATCTAAAAGAGATCTCTCTTCCCCATTCTTTAAAAATACTTTTCCTTCAAGAAAGCTCCTTTTATTTGAAAGTCTGGCCTCTCAGTTCATTAGAGAAATTTGTGCTTAATTGGAAGCGGTCCTCCCTTGTCTATTTGCAAGTAATCTCTCTCAGCCCTTTTTTGCTTGCTTCATAAGACTTGTAACTGAGCAGTTTGTTTCTTTTTTGGCTACTTTCCTTGCCTCGAAAGGAATGTAAACTCTAATGAGAGCAGAAACTAAGCTAGTTAGTTCTTGGTATCTAGTGTCTGTGCTATACTCTCTGTAGAGAAAATAATAAATTCAGGTCTTCTTTTGCTAAAATTTATTTGTTTTTATTTGAAAGGCAGATATTTTAAGGAGAGAGGGGCAGATATCTATGCACTGATTCACTCCCCAAATGGCTCTAAGACCAGAGCAGGGTGGGTCTGAAGCTCGGAGCCATGTGTCTGCCCCGGTCTCCCAGGTAGGTGCAGGGGCCTAAGGTACACTTGCCATCCTCCACTGCTTTCCCAGACACACCATTAGAAAGCTGAATCAGAAGTGGAGATGCTAGGACTTGAACTGGCACCAGTCTGGGAAGCCTGCAACACAAATGGAAGTTTAGCCTGCTTGTGACATTATGGCACTGCCTCCCCCCAACCCCTTTTATTGTAAATAAATAAGTAGAAAGCAACCAGACAAAAGGTCTCTTTGTGCTTAAAAATTTGGTCTCAAATGATTTTGTCTTCAGTGTGTTTTATTTTGGGAATGAGAAATTTAATGGTAGTCCTAATCTTTGACCAGAAATGTACTTGTGAAGAAAAATTATTATTAATCACTATGGCATAATAAAATATAGTAGCTCCAAAGCAAGACAGTTTTTCCAGTGACATAGGATAATATTTAGAATTACTATACCTTATAATCATTTACTTAGAATTACTTGTTCAGTTTTTGTTTTTTTGAGGGCACGTAAGCATTCAGGGTATAAAAAAGGCATAGCAGATCTCATGTGATTCTACACACTCTTCACAAAAACCAAACTGCCTGAATCTACCCAGCGTATGTGTGTCTGTGTGTATCATATAGGTATGCACGTACATACATTCTAGCTTATATTTTATATGTTTTAATATATTTTAATTATTTTTATTTTATTTATAAGGCAAAGCAACAGAGAGAGAGACATAGATTTTCCATTACTGGTTTTTTCGCAAATGCCTATAATAACCAGAATAGAGCCAGGCGAATGCTGGGAGTCCATATCTCAAAGCCAGGAACCTGGATCTCAGTCCAAGTCTCCCGTGTGGCTGGCAGACACAAGAACTTGAGCCGTCATCTGCTGCTTTGCTCTGGTGTACAGTAGAAGCAAGTTGGATCGGAAGTACAGGAGCTGAGACTCAAGCTAGGCACTAGCAGATGGATGTCCCAAGTGGCAAGTTTAATTGTTATGCTTAAGGCCTGCTCCTAGCATCTACTTTAAAAACAATCTTACTGAAATATGTGATGTATAGTACACTATATGTTTCTCTATACAAAGTCTAAACTGTGCATAAAATATAGCTTGACCAGTATAAATTTTTTTATAATGTTACAGGATGAATAATTATAATAATATATTCATGTCAAACAGTTTCAATTAAATAAGGAAATTATATCCTCAATGAGTAGTTTTTGTTTAGAGATTTATTTTATTCTTACTCAAAAGGCAGGTTTACAAAAGGAGAAGGCAGGGTGTAGAGAGAGTCTGTTCTATCTGCTGGTTTACTTCCCAAATGGCCATGGTGGTTGCAGCTGAGCTGGACTGTGGCCAGAAACCGGGAGCCCTTCCTCATCTCCCATGTGGGCACAAGGGCCCAAAGGCTTGAGCCATCTTCCACTGCTCTCCCAGGCCTTAAAGTCGGAGCTGTATCAGAACTGGAGCAGCTGAGACTTAAAGCAGCGCCCATATATAAGGCCAGTACTGCAGGTGGAAGCTTAGCTTACAATGCTATAGTGCCAGCCCCTGGAGAGTAGTTTTAAACAAATGTATATCACGTTGGAAGAATGATTGCTTCTCATACATTGTAAGTTATTATTTATGCCTTATGTCATTTAAAATCTTGTTTTAGGTCAGGGTTGTAGTGTTATGGGTAAAACCTCCATCCCTGATGCTGGCATCCTTGATGACAGCCCTATGGATGCTGGTTTATGTCCTGGCTGCTCCACTTCAGTCCAGCTCCCTGCAGATATGCCTGGGAATGCAGTGGAAGATGGCCCAGGGACCTGCCACTGTCATGGGAGACTTACATAAAGCTTCTCCCTTTGGCCTGGCCCAGCCATGGTTTTCAGGGCATTTGGAGAGTGAACTAGTGGATGGAAAATTGTCTCTAACTCTGCCTTTTCTAATACAATAAAATAATATATTTTAAAAATATATGTTTCTTATTTTTTATGTCATAGGAGGATGTTTCTTCTGGTGGGAGCTCCCAAAGCGAATACCACCCAGCCTGGGATTGTAGAAGGAGGACAAGTCCTCAAATGTGATTGGTCTTCTACCCGCCGATGCCAGCCAATCGAATTTGATGCAACAGGTAAATATTGCTGAGGTGGTCATTTTAATTTATGTTGTTTGATAGTTTTGAGCAGTTGCTTTAGTTTACATGTAACAGTTTAGCGCACTGATGGATATAAGCATCTGAGATCCATTGGTAAATTCACTGAAAGACTAATGGCTTAGCGTATGATTTTTTCCCCCTGCAATTTTCTGACATATAAAAGCATTAAAAATGCGCTGTGTTACATTAGGTGTCTTCTGATTTAAATTAATAGTGTCATCCTGTAGAAATCTTGAGACAATTTTGTCAGATGTTTTTGCATTTTCTTTGAGATAAGGAGTCCATAGGCAGAGTCAGGGAAGCATGACTCACTGCACTGAATCAGCTTCATAATCATAATTACATTCAAGTCTGGGGTTGTACTGCAGAGAAACAGTTGAGGACTTTTTTGTATTTACATAGATTTTGGTGATTAAAAAAAAAAAACCAGAAAGCACAGATGCCCTTGGGGCAACCTTGAACCTGGTGGTTAACACACACTCATCCCACATTAAGGTAGGTGGGACATTTTCCATCTCCAGCTCCGACTCCAGTTTTCTGTTAACGACATGGTGGCAATTGCTTAAGCAATTGGGCCTCTGACTACTTGTTGGACTACTCTGACTACTTCCTAGCTTGCATTTTTGATCCTTGGTCCAGAAGCAGTCACTGTGTGCATTTGAGTAGTAAAGCAATGGATAGGAGTCTGTGACTATAGTTAGTTGATTTAATGACCTCTTAGCCAAAGTTTATTCTGCAGAATACATGCTATGGATTGGGTAAAGGAGAATGTTATGTACAAATTTCTTTTTTAAAAAAATGCTTATTTTATTTAAAAGTTAAATGAACAGAAAGGAAGATGCAGAGATAAATCCCCCATCCTCTGGTTCAGCTCCTAAATGGCCACAACAACCAGAGGTGGGCTGGACTGAAGATGGGTTCCGAGTGCTTCTTGTGGGTCTCCTACGTGGATGTAGGAGCTCAAGGCCTTGTTGTTGTCCATCCTCTACTGCCTTGCCAGGCTGTTAGCAGGGAGCTGGATCACAAGTGGAATGGCTGAGACACGAACCAGCACCCATATGAGATGCTGGTGCCACTGGTGAAGGATTAGCTTGCTATACCACTGCGCTGGCCCCCCAGGGACAAATTTCAGTGTCAAGATTGCAGGAGTCAACAGTAAAATAGCATAGGGAAGATAAAAAAATGACAAATAGTTTGAGCCTTATATTTAATCAGTGAAATTAAATGTGTGTAATACTGTTTACAATTTTAGTAGTACTTTCAACACTTACTACTATTTATTTGAGAGGCAGAGGAATGAAGATTGAGAAAGCTTTTGCTGGTTTGCTCCCCTGAATGACTGCAGTGGCTGGGGTCAGGTGGAGCCCAGATCCAGGAGCCCGGAAGTCAGTCTACTTCCAGTCTTGCTGGATGGTGGTAGCAATGCAGTCAGTTGAGCCATCACTGGTCTCTCTCAGGATCTGCATTTGTAAGAAGTTGGAGTCAGAAGCCAGAGTGGGAGTTGAACTAGGGAACTCTAATGTTAACTGCAAGGTTAAATATGCACTTCCGTGATAGTTTGTTTGTATTTTGTAAGTGTGAAATTTCTTATAGTAATTTCAAAAATTTGTTAACAATTTGCTGACGTTGACATTGCTCTAAGATAAGCCTGAGAAAAAGGCCTTTTTTCCTGTATTTTTATTTCCTGTATTTTTATTTCCTGTTAGTTCTGAGACACTTGGGTTCTAAAAATTACAGTATTGCTTAACCAGGAATCATGACGTGGACTGTTCCCTTTGACGTGGTGATTATTGCCAAAGTGATTGTCATTCACTGAGCTTGCTATTAGCAGAAATCAGTCACGTGTTTTTGTTTTTGTATTTTTCCATCTGAAGCTATTGTATTAACTGCTTGTCATTTTTTTCCCATATATGAGCAATATTTGAAAAACCCTGACAGTTTATAAATACCTGTGATTCAAAATACTTGCTGGGTAGAGTATTTGTCTTCTAAGACAATGTGAATACTGCTAACATAAGTACAGATGATGGGTTGAACTGTTCAGACTCAACACCCTCTGTTTTTATTAATTACAAACTAGTTTATTGCTGACCTTTTTTTTTCTTTTTTGAAATTTGGCTTTAAGCGTTTCTTCTTGTTGTTTATTGAAAATAATATATATACCTGGTTAAAGGCAAACTGTCAGATGATCCAAAAGAATACAGTGAACAACCAACAGAACTCTCACATTATCTGTTAGGAGACAGTCATGCTTCTTTTATCTGAAATTTTCTCATTTCTGTACATATATACATTCTTTAGAGGAAAAAAAAGGCAGCCCCTAAATAGAAACTTACTAAATATACTGTTAGGTACCAGCACCGCCATCTAGCAATGTCAGTCTCTTATGGAGTTGAATTTATGTATCAAAATATATATTTAGATTTACTGCTTTTTTGTCAATCACTAACTCTATACAATTGCATTTCTGTATTAACTAATGTGAGTTATACTTTAAACAATTCATGGAAAATGAAATTAAGATAATGTTTATTTGGTGGGAAAACATTTGGGAGTCCATGATTGCATAATTTATGGAAGAAGTTCATGAAAAATGCATATTATGAAAAAAAATGCTTGCATTTCAAAATTTTTTTTGTACCAAAATTTTATTTGTCCATAAACTTTAAAGATTTATTTTTATTATTTTTTCATTGGAAAGGCGGATATACAGAGAGGAGAGACAGAGAGGAAGATCTTCCGTCCGATGATTCACTCCCCAAGTGAGCGCAACAGGCCGATACTATGCCGATCCGAAGCCAGGAGCCTCTTCCGGGTCTCCCACGCGGGTGCAGGTTCCCAAAGCTTTGGGCCGTCCTCGACTGCTTTCCCAGGCCACAGGCAGGGAGCTGGAAGGGAAGCGGGGCGCCCGGGATTAGAACCGGCGCCCATATGGGATCCCGGGCGTGCAAGGCGAGGACCTTTAACCACTTGCGCCACCGCGCCGGGCCCCTTGTCCATAAACTTTAAAAAGGTTCCTTTGTTATTTCCTTATTTTTTTTTTTTAACCTGGTGGTACCAATTTTTTTCTGTTTTTTTTTTTTCTTTATTTTTGACAATCTTTACATAGTTAATTAGGGCACAAAGGTTCAAGGGCTGCAGGAAAGTGGATAAGACTATGATTTCCACTTTTTTTTTTTTTAATCTGGGGTAAAGGGGGAGGTAAAGGAAAAAGCCCCACCCAATCTCCCACCTGTCCCAGGTCCCAGATATGAGGCATGCTCCGAGGGTCTTGCTCAAGTGGCTTTGATAGTTCAACAGTTCTGAATTGCTGCCAATCTCACCATTCCAAGCACAATGAGGTCGCTGAATAATCCACTGATTGACACAGTCCATCTTAGAGTCTCCGTTTGCCCAGTTTTTCACTGCCAACATATGGTTGGGGTAGTTGATTGGTTTGTTCTGTCCCCTGTCTTTTCATGGTTAGGGTTCTGAGTCCGGTAGATCAATTGGGGAGATTCCCAAAGAAACTTTGTCTAAGGTAATCCCAGACCAGGTTCTTGTTGGTGCTTGGCACGTACAGGGCCTGGTACAGTCCATCACCCCAGTCACCAGGTGGTTGCAATTGCTGGGTTGGTTCTGTTTCCAGCCCTGGAACCAATGGGTGTTGCAGTTCAGCCTGATTCTGCCTAGCACACACTTGGCCCTCACATAAACCATGGGAGCTGTAACCTAGTCGGAGCGACCCACAATAACCCCCACCAGGCCCGCCCCCTACCCTGGTTCCCATGCTTGCCATATGTGCAGCCAACTAGTCCAGTCTGTCCCATATCCCATTCAGCTCTCATACATGTCTGTGGGCATTGAAGCCTAGTTCAACCTAACCAGCTCCACTATCCAGCCCACATACATGCTGTTGGGTGCCTTTCTGTCTAGCCACCCCTACCCCTGTCCTGGATTTCATGCTCTCCAGTAGGAGTGATAACCCAAGAGGGAGATGCCCACTATTTCCCTTCTGGGCCTCTCCCACTCCCAGATTATGCACTCTCCAGGTGGTTCTGCAGTTTAACTTGACAGAATTAGCCTCCAGTGTCAGCATCTGCCAGCTGATGCTGCCGCAAAGCCCAACCAACCCTCACCCACTCTCAATTTTTGCTTGCACCAGTAGGAACAATCAGCCCAGCCTGGCTTTTCCCTAATCTAGTGCACAGGAGGCGCACAGGTGTTGTAGCCCAGCCTGGTCTGGTCTGCCCCCATCCCAGCTCACACTCTGCAGGGGGAGTAGCTGTCCAGCAGGGGAACCCCGACCTTCCCCCTGCCAGCTCCCCCCTCCCTCCCTGGTTCTCATGTGTGCTGATGGGCGCTGCGGTCACATCTGGTACAGGTCACCACCTCACTTTGGTATTCTGTAATGTGCACTGTTTTTTTTTCTTAAGATTCATTTATTTATATTGGAAAAGCAGATATACAGAGAGGAGGAGAGACAGAAAGGAAGATCTTCTGTCTGATGGTTCATTCCCCAAGTGGCCACAATCGCTGGAGCTGAGCTGATCTGAAGTCAGGAGCCAGGAACTTCTTCCGGGTCTCACACACAGGTGCAGGGTCCCAAGTCCTTGGGTCCTCCTCTTCTGCTTTCCCAGGCCACAGGCAGGAAGCTGGATGGGAAACCGGGCTGCCTGGATTAGAACCTGTGGCCATATGGGTTCTTGGTGCGTTCAAGGTGAGGACTTTAACCACCAAGCTATCGTGCTGGCCCTGTGCACTGTTTTTTTGTCAGACCGAACCTGGCCCAACCCACATTTTGTTCTGGTGTCCTTTTTTTTTTTAAGAGTTATTTTATTTTAAAAGAATTGTTTATATAAAAGAAAGTCACAGAGAAGGGAAGACAGATATTTTCATTTGTTAGTTCATTCCCCAAATAGGTGCAATATCCAGGGCGGGGCCTGGCTGAATCCTGGAGCTTCATCCTGCTGTCTGTGTAGGGTCCAAGGTCCCCA